AAATCATAAACCAAAATAAAAAGCACCATTGTAATAAAAAACACCACCCTTTCCTTCCCGTTGACACATGCAAAAATAAATATTAGAAAAAAAATGTAGAGATTATTTAACCTCAATAGTTACTATTTAATTATTATTTTATGACATGTATTTTGGTAATTTATCTGGTCAAATTTGATTGGATTGACTAAAATTATTTTAGTTTTGTTGGTCAAATTTTTATTTATTCTAATTTTAAATTTAATTTAAATTAATTTTAAATTATTGAATTTTTTAATTAACTCATTAAATTACACCAAACTTAAAAACAATAATGAAGATAAAAAGCATAATTATTTTAAAATCTTGTTTAGTATTGTAATAGTAATTACGATTGAAAGTATTTTCACTTAGAAATATATTAAAATATTTTTTAAATTAAATTTTATATCAATATATTAAAATCATTTAAAAATATCTTAAAACATAATTTTTAAAAAATTAAAATTAAGAAAAACATAATTTACACCCATTTCCAAACTAAATTTAAATTAAATTTGAAAAGATTTACCAGTCTAGACCCTAAATAGGTGTCTACTTTCTTGCTTTCAATTCTCTACTCCTTCAACATGCAATGATCCATGTGTTTGGCTATGCATGCTTGGAAGGGGGACCTACCCTTTCCCTCGTCTAAATCACTTTTCAAAAAGGACCGAAGAACACCGTTTTTTTATCTACAATTTCTGATGGGATTGATTGACAGAGTCTTCACTGTTGAAGTCAAAAACATTCTATTGACCTTCACAGGATTAAAAAAAAAAAAATCTATTGGACATACTATATATTATCAATATTTTACATGGGTGAAAATTTATTTTTTTATTAATTACTTTAATATTATTTTATTATTAAAATTAAAATAATATTTTATAGTACAAATATCTTTGTAAATTTTATTAAAGTAACGCAAAGAGTAAAAAATAAAAGAAGAAAATGAGAGAATAATTATTTAACAAATAAAAATCTTAACCCTTTAATAGAAGTTATATAGGCTATTTTTTTTAATAATTTAAGTCAGGTTCATTCATTGTAGATGGACTATGCCTGACCTAATATTTAACAAAAATAAATAGTGTATATTTTAATTATTATTATTATTATTATAATATAAGGTTTTCATCAGCTCTTAATTTCCAAAACCATATATTATTATTATTATTATTATTATTATTATTATTATTATTATTATTATCTTAGGAATAAACTCTTATCTCAATCATTTCAAGTCATCATTGCAGGCTGATGCGCCCAGCAGAAGTCCTGCATGCTGCATCATTTCTTCATGCATCCACCCAATTAGGCTTTTCTGCGGATTGTTGGAAAAGTTCCTAGCAGAGTTTATTACTCGGAAAGCTGAAAGGACTTTGACTTTTCAAAGCCACAGGGCACCATTTTGATCTTTTGTTTTTGATCTCTTTCCTCCAGGAACTGATAAGTTAGACCATTTGGTGTTTTTTTCAACAAAATTGAATCAGATTCTTTGAGTTACTGGAGCATCGGAGGCCTGGCACGGCTTTTGATGCATGGAACTTGATCATTCGGAGTCCTCATCCCAGTTCGACTCCACAGTGTCTCTCGGGGGCTACAAGCCTTGACTCGGCCAGAACCCGAAGATTATCCCGACTCCCTCGAACTTGATCAAGGGGTCTTGGATCAAACTATTCATGATTTGTTCTTATGCGAGTGTGAGGACCTTGTAGTGTCGAGAGAATATCTGAATGCTCGGTCTCGGATCAAGCTGTTTATGATTATTTTTTTTTTAACTCTTGACTCTTAACTCTTTTTTTTAATTATATTGATTTTATTCGATAATTTTTTTTAGCTGGATATTATGTTTTCGTAATGTCGATGGAAAATTCGATGCTAAATAAGTGTTAAGAAACTAAAATTAAAACTAAATTAAATACAATAATAAAAATAAGTATACAAAACAAATAAGCTAGCATATATACCATATGCATTTGTAGCTGAGAGGTTTTAGTGACTTTCAACATGTGAGGCATCACTAGGCAATCAAACTACTGCTTTCTAGCAGTGTTGGGATTGTTTTATTGTGATCTTTTAGGGGTCTAATGCGTGTATGATAGGTAGTGGAGGTTGGACTCAGATGAAATGTTTTTTCATCTCCTCCAATTTTTCTCTCTTATTCCCTTAGGAATTGTGCTGGCTTGTAAAAATTTAGACGTGTCCAGTCACTTGTTATTTGCGTTAAATTTTATTTTTATTTTTTTTCATTATTATTTATTTTGATTTTGATTTTGTTTTGAATTTTTTGAATTTTATTTTTTAGCATTGAGTTTTCTTTAGTTTTATATTAAACTTGATCTTTATTCTTTTGATTCTTAATTTTTTTTCTTATTTTTTTTTAATTTTATCTCTTGTTATTGATTCAATTTGATGTTTATATAAGATTTGATCTTAGTTTTTTTTATTTCTATTTGTTTTTTATCCTTTTTTATCAATTTTTTTAATTTCATCTTAATATTTTATTGATTAGGGATTTAATTTCATAATTTCTTGATTTACCTTTTATAAAATTTGCTCGATATTATTATTTGAATTATGAATTTTTAAAATTAATTCAACTTATCTTTAATAACTTTGTACTTTGTTGAATTAAAACAATTGGATTGTGGAGACTAGGGTAAATATTTTTAATGAAATAATTATTTTTATTTCAAGTTATTTTTTCTATTCACCCCAATTCTCATATTTGAAATTTAAAGATTGAGTTCATGATTTTATTTTATTTTGGTTTTTTTTTTTTGCTTTGAGATTATCTAGCTTTATGACCTAGATCGTATGATTGGTATATGTGCCTGAGTTATATCAGATTTTGTTTTTCAAGTTATTTTTTTGAGATTAAATATTTTTTTATTTTTATCACTCAACATCTAATTTATTTGAGAATTAACTTTCATAATTTTTATTTTACTGTTTTATCATTTATTAGATATTTAGATTATCTCGTTTGCATGATTCGGCTCATAAAATTTGATGACCTTACCCAAGTTTGCTGATGTTTAATATTTTTGGAGTTTTTTCTACAAAATTTTTGTTTGTTTCATCTTTCTACATTTGATTTGTTAGGAATTGTGTATCATTATTTTTTTTTTTATGTGATTATCCTAACCTCACAACATGTATGTCGCAAGTTTATCATGCTCACGTGGGTTCAATCGAGTCACTCTTTTTTGTATCATTTTTAGTTTTTTTTTTTATTTTCGTAATTTAGCATTAAGTTGTAATTTATTTATTTTTTCCTTTTCGCATGCATGCTTATGTTGCGGTTCATCATGCTCACCATTCTATTGAATCCAGCAGGTTCTGTTACCCTTACTTACAATTAAAGACTTTACTGAGGCTTGCTATATATATATATAGCAAATTTTAAAATACCACATATCCGATCCTTTACCATGAATTATCGCACGCTGTGTGGTCTCTGAAGTGCACTTTAGAATAGAAACAAAAGCTCCAACAGAAGCTCATGTTCCCATTGGTCCGAAATCTATCCAAGAAATTGCTCAGATTTCATTATCTTACATGGCTCCATAGAAATCCCTTCTTTAGATCCTCCTTCCCTCGCCCTCATCGTTCAAGAGAGCATTAAAGCCACCAGCACCGACAAGTATCTACCATTTGGAAAGAAAATAACAACCTCAGGGCACCACAAGTTCTTGTACAGAAACCAGCTTCTTGGTTAAGAGAAAGAAAAGAGAGAGAGAGAGAGAGATGGCTGCTGCCTCTGGTGCTGTCCTAAATGGATTGGGATCTTCGTTCTTGTGTGGAGGGAAGAGGAGTCGAGCCTTGTCGGGAATTGGAGCAACTAGGATTGGAAGTTGCTCATATGGTGCGAGGAAGTTGACGATAGTAGCCGCTGCTCAACCAAAGAAGTCTTGGATCCCTGCTGTTAAAGGTGGTGGCAGCTTCGTTGACCCCGAGTGGCTCGACGGCTCGTAAGTCTGATCTCTGCTAGATGTAGTTGGAAGTGTTTTTTTCCCTTAAAATGCTACATGTCACTGCCACTTATATTTCTGGAATTTATAATGGTAGCAAGGGCTGAAGTATGCTAGTCTCCACACATTTGATATGCAGGCTCCCCGGGGACTACGGTTTCGATCCTCTAGGCCTAGGCAAGGACCCGGCATTCCTCAAATGGTACAGGGAAGCTGAACTCATTCACGGTAGGTGGGCTATGGCTGCCGTGCTGGGTATCTTTGTTGGCCAAGCTTGGAGCGGCATCCCCTGGTTCGAGGCTGGTGCTGACCCTGGTGCCATTGCACCCTTCTCCTTCGGTTCGCTCCTCGGCACCCAGCTCATTCTCATGGGTTGGGTGGAGAGCAAGCGGTGGGTGGATTTCTTCAACCCCGAGTCCCAATCCGTGGAATGGGCAACACCGTGGTCTAAAACTGCAGAGAACTTCGCCAACGCCACTGGCGACCAGGGTTACCCGGGCGGCAAGTTTTTTGACCCCCTGGGCTTTGCAGGGACTCTCAAGAATGGAGTGTACATTCCTGATGAGGAGAAGCTCGAGAGACTTAAACTTGCTGAGATTAAGCATGCTAGGCTTGCCATGCTTGCTATGTTGATCTTCTACTTTGAGGCTGGTCAAGGCAAGACTCCTCTTGGTGCTCTAGGACTGTAAAACCTTTACATGATGGCCATCTCTGTCATCAATGTAGATATAAATCTATTTTTTTCGTGGATAAACATTCGCCAACTCCAATTCTCTGTTATTGAGCTATATGATAGTAACGAGTTTTATCCATGATTAGCTTGAATTGGATTTGGTATTTGTGATTTTAGAATATAGGGTTATTGTACTTCACCCTTTTTTTCTTTTTGTTTATCAACTATGGTGCCATGCTCATTTTGGTTCAAGGCAAACCACGAACTTGGGAAGCTTGGGTTCTTAAAAGCATAGATGAGGCAAATAACCTTGTGCCAGATACATCCTCTGATAAATTTCTATCCACAGTAGACCTTTATAAGAAATCAATTGAATGGTTTTCCTGCCATACACAACTCACAGAAGTATGAAGCTGGTAATAAGATTTTGAACAGGAAACTTTCACTCATTCTAGGTTTCCCACAGAAAATAGCTTTAGCACTTTTCGAGTGCCCAAACAACCGAAGAAAGCAAGGAGATCACATGCATGTAATTGGCATGGATAGACTGAGAAGAAAAACCGTACTCTTAGCACCAAGAAAAGCAACTCGGGATTGAAATCATAGAAAGGATTGTTGAGTTTTCAAGGAAAAAAGAAACCATGAAGAATCTACTGAATGGTAGAAAATAGCAAGCATGGATTATTCACCACCAGTAGCCATCAAAAACTCGCCCTCGCAAACTACCTCACCTCCAACATAAGCTTTCCCCTCCATCTTTGCTATTCCAAAGCGTTTTTGCAGCTTGATTAGTGTCATTCTCATAACCAAGGTGTCACCTGCAATCACTGGTTTCCGGAATCTCACTTTGTCAATTCCAGCAAAGAAGAAATTCTCACGAGAGCCTCCAACTTCTGGTTGCAGCATGACTAAACCACCAACTTGTGCCAATGCCTGGACAAAAAACCATCAACTCATATCATTAATTATGTGACTTTCTGCAGGATTCCGAACTCTGAAGTATATCAGTATGGCCATTAGGCAAATAAGGTTTGACTTCATTGAATGCAACAGGATATACAAACGCAATTTCCAACCCAAGGCAACAAAGTAGACCACAGATTTGAAAATGCTAGGCAAATTATTTTCAAATGTGAGGCCACTACATGATGATGTACGAGTATCATCATGTCCACTGGCGAAGATATCAGAAAGTTCATCATGAATCTTAAAATGACATATATGGAAAAGAGATACAACCATATGCTATAAGTTGAAGATGATGCTTCAGTTATGACCTTTTAACTTCCTCAACCTTCTGATGATGTTTATTTATAACATTTAACCTCCTCAAACTTGACCATTACAGAAAACACATTGCAGAAGACAAATCACTCGGGGAAAAAAATAGTATCAATATGCATGAAAAGTATCATCAGACTCAGAAATTGCAGACTGTCATATATGGTTGCGCAATGGGTGGAATGGAATGCCTTCTCACTTCCAACCATTTCATTTTATAGGAGTAATACTGTTGATGAATGTTTGAGTCCATGACACCTCCACTGTAGAATCTGATTTGTTGAGAGAATGGTAAGCATGCATGAATGAAATCCAAAACCACAGCATCAAGTTCCTGAGGTAAATGGATTCGTGGAAATAAACAAACAAAATAAGAAATGAAAAAAGGCCAGTGTTGATTCTAATCGATGACGAGGTCATGGTCCCTTGAGTGGAGAATAGTAATTCATGAAATACAACCAATTAGTATCAACATCAGGATATGTGCTACGCAGGGCACACCCAACGACTGACACTCAAACAAACACAGAGCCCAAAAAAATGAGGTCAAACCACCCCCTGCCAAAGCCATAAAACTTTGTCAGCCTTTCTGAAAAAAGATCCAATAAAACCCTCCAGAAGAGCGAAATGATGATGAAAACAGGTCAGAGTTTTGCCTCCTGACTCATGTCAGTCATTAAGTGGATCAGGTTTGGTTGGGGGTATTAGTCTAGGTCAGGACAGGTTTGGGCCCTAGATATGTTTTTATCTTTAATATTCTCTGATGTATAACGAACTATGCTTCCTGGGAGGTGACTATAACATGGTCAAAATTATCATTTGATGTTGAAAACTCTTTTAAGTTGCTCCTCAAAGTAATAAATGATGAGGAAAGCAAAACAGGCTCCCTCCCTCTCTTCCTCTCATGTGGGTAAAGCAACCAAACTCAACTTTTGTTCTACTACCACCAATTGCCATGATGATAAATCCTTAATGTTATCCTGCCTTAAGAAGATGATGATGGTGGTGATCATAAGATCATCATGCTCTGGCACTTTTGAGTTTGTTTTCTAGACCAGGTAACCTATGAATATAACAAAAACATCTTAAACTATAAGCTTTTCTAACAAAGGGAGAATGCACAACACGTGCACACGCAAAAGCAGAAACTATTAGAAAATCTTAAGAAGTTTGTTCTCTTCTTCTACAAAGATTTGGGGGCTTCCTTCAAAAATAATTAAGATATTTTGTTATCCCATGCAGCTTTAGTTTAAAAAAAGAAAACTTCAACACGCGAGGGAAAACAAAATGCTGAGCAAGAGACCATTTCATGCATTTTCATCAAACAAGGCATTATAAATGCATTATAAACATGAACCATTGAGCTCATTTAGTAAAGAAAGATGATCCAAAATAACGAACTCAAACAACTAAAGTAGAAGAAGATACTCCAGAACTTTATGAAGGAAAATCAAATTAAGAAAATAAAGGCTCCTTAAGAATCAATCTTCTTGATCGAGGTGCGTAGTTCAGCATCCACGGTAGCAAGCAATTATCAGCTTCAATTATAGATGTAGAACTTAAATGCAACTAAACTACACGGGGGATACTTAATGTGCACCGATCTCAGCAAGCACCGAAGACTAAAAGTGACCCTACATGTTAAATTATTCTCTATTAAGTCAAGTAAATCTCTAAATTCTTCCACATTTATATCTACTTTCCGTTTGGGCATCTAAAGGGAGAATCGATATTTAAGAAGGCCTGATTCACATGTGCGCATCCTTCAAATACATTTGATTAATTTCTTGGCACTCAGAGAGCCAATGCATACATTCAGCAGTTTGCATGATCATTACCAAGATTTCACATCCAAAAACCCACTAGAAAAACTCACTTACGAGCGCATACACAGTCAAAACATTACCTCAACCATAAGAACACCAGGCATAATGGGCCTCTCTGGAAAATGACCAGGGAAGAAATTGTCATTTATCGTCACATTCTTGATGGCAACAGCTGAAACTCCAGGATTGTACTCAATTACTCTATCCACCAACAGAAATGGGAACCTAAAAAGCCATCCCATCCAACACAACACCTCAGTTAGGCAAAGAAACAAAGCCCAAAATTGGAAGCGGCAAAACACAAAAAATCTTGTTTATTCCAGGTAAAAAAGACCAACCTGTGAGGTAGAATCTCACGAATCTGGTTGATGTCCATCACAGTGGGATACGCAGGATACTCTGCAAAATTATATTTCAAAGATACAGCAATCAGTAGAGTCAGACATAGAGAGAGGGCGAGGGCGTGTAACTGGGAAGGGAAAATTGCATACTGAGTTCAATGGGAATCTGCTCTTCTTTTGGATCATTAGCAGCAGCAGCACCAAGAGAGCAAAAGGTAACGAGAGAGCTGGAATTGGTTCTGTCCTTCAGCTTGAAATGGGCTGAGAGCAGCGGATTCTGAGATCTAGGATTAGAGACTGAAACCCGAGATGGAAGCAAGAAATTGTTATTAGTAGAGGGTAAAACTCCATGAGCGAGAGATGTTGAAGAAGAAAGAAGTGAGTTGGCGAACGCCGAGGTTGCCATGGTTGAGGATTGGGGAGCTTAGTTAGAAGTGTTATTGCTATATAAGTTCCAAGTGTTGTCTTTAGGGTGAGGGCGACGGTAACGAGGTGTGTTTGGACGGATATTACAATGCTGCTGCTTTGAAAAGAAAAATACGGGTTTTCAGCCAGCTTATGCTAAAATGTATTTTAATTCCTTAAAATTTTAAAATTAATAAGTATGTAATTCTTCAAAAATTTTAAAGTTTTTAGTTTTTAAATTATTAATTTTAAAAAAATAAATTTAATTAAAAACCTCTCATAGCTGAATTTATATTTATAGATGGAGAATATTTTTGTTGTTGTTAAAGAACATTTAAAGTATTGTTTTACTTGAAATAATTGGGTCATCATGAAATCTAGTTTATTTTTAATCTAAATTAGTTTGAATTAAACAAAAAAAAATAATTAATTTAATTAAAAACTTGAGTTGACTCAATGGTTTATTTAACCTGTAAAATTCAGTTATTATTTTTATTAGATTTTTTAATAAAAATGTTTATATATGTACACGCAACATTTTAATATATTATTTTTATTAGATTTTTTAATAAAATTAGTTAAAATAATATTAATTTGATTTTAAAAAATTGAATTCATGACTGGAATAGGCTCCACTCCAAGTTATCATTGAATTGAATTTTAAAATTATAGTTAAAAGTTAAATGTTTATATATGTACAGCAACATTTTAATAAAAAAAAAAAACTCTCATTATAAATAATGAAAAAATACATATAATTTTAAAAATAATTAATAAAGAAAATTGTATTTTTTACCAGGAAAGCTATCTATACTTCGCCAATTAAGTTTACTCGATGTTGAGAGAATGCTTGAGGTTGTTTGAACACAAACTCTCTTTAATATTAAGAGCGGTTTATTTTTATATTTTAAGTGTTTTTTTTTAATAAATTCAAATCATTTATTTATTTTACTTTAAATTAATATTTTCAATAATTTTGATATACTTTTTCTTTGAATTTTTGGCTTCACACACGCCTGATGCATTGACAAAGCTGGTAAGCTCGGTAGATACAGGGTTAGATGGGAATGATGAACAACCACATTGAATGGAGAAATTGGCTAAGTAAGGTGTAGGGTTAGGCTTCCATCAGCAGGAATTGAGGTGAAAAAAAATAAATAAAGAATGGGAATGAAATAAGGAGAAATAATTCAATTTATCTCTTTCTAATCCAGTGTTTAAGCCCTAAATATTCTTTAAACCCTCGACTAAGCTAGCAATCTTGAGAAAAAGCCTTGGAGATTTCCTAGGTCTTGAGAAAGCTCCATAATCTGTTCTTTAATTAATCCCTAGGCATTCTTTAAGCCACATGCAAAATTAATAATCAAATGTCTGAGTTGGTATTTTAAAATGTGATTATGGTTATTTTTTAAAGTATTTTTTATTAAAAAATATATTGAAATAATATTTTTTAAAATTAATTTTGATATCAATTCATTAAAATAATCTAAAAATACCAAGAAATATATTAATTTAAAGTAAAAAAATAAAAAACTTTCATATTTTTTCTAAAATATTTTTGAAATGAAAAAATAAACAGGATCTAAGTAAGCATTTGAAAATGTGGTTGTGTCCGCGTTTGATTTTTTTGTATATTTTTTATTATTTTAATGTATTGATCTAAAAAATAATTTAAAAAATAAAAAAAAAATATTATTTTAATGTATTTAAATACGAAATGCACTTAAAAAAGCAACCACAACTTCACTCTCAAACATGTAAGAGCTTATTTGGAATTGTGTTTGAAATTATATCTTTAAAAATTTTAAATTTTTTTATTTTGAATTAATTTTTTATATTTTTTAATTGTTTTGATTTGCTAATGTTAAAAACATTTTTTAAAAAATATTCTAATATATTAAAAAAAAATTAAAATTTAATTGATATTATATTCCAAAAGATGTTATTATTGTTATAAACTCTAGGCACTCTTTTCAATTTAAATGAATCAAAACTAATTGTGAGTGTCCTCCTTGTTCAACCACTAACCTAAAGTAATTGTGTGCACATACCTACCTATCACCTAACCAAGATGCCGGTCTGAGTCCAAGAAATATACTCTTATTTTTCCATAAAAACTCAAACCCTAAATTATATTAGATAGTAAATTAGAGGTGGAAATTTTAATTTATTTTTTTATTTTTTTATTTTTAGATATTAAATTCTATTTAAAATTTAATTTTTAACTCTTAAGATGATTCTAAATATAAAATTTCATTAAAATTTATAAATAAAATTTAATTCAAATGGTTATAAACTATGTGAAATAATTTTTTTAATCATAACTTCAAGTTTTAAAACTAGGATTAAAAAGAATGAATTTCTTTAAATATATTAGATTAATGTGGAGCCAAATCATCTTGGCCAACCTTCTCATTCTTTTTCATTTTATTAAAAATTAATTTATTTTTATATTTTTTTAAAAATTAAATATTTTTATTTTTATTTTAAAATATTTTTTTATTTTTATAATGTCAAAAATAAATTTTAAAAATTAAAAAATATTATTTTAATATATTTCTAAACAAAAATTAATTTAAAAAATAATTATTACTATACAACAAATGAGCTTCGAGTTACTTATTTTATATCGAGGCTTATTTTTTTTTATCAAAATTTAAAATTTTTATTGTTTTGATGTTTTAATAAATAAAAAAATATTATTTTAATATATTTATAAATAAAAAAACATTTTTTAAAAACATTATTTACCCCAGTATCATGCACCCCTCGAAACGAAAACGAAATTCCTCAATATTCTCCTCTCCTGATTTTGCATTTCCTGTCCAGAGTACAGACACGCACAGACAGAGTCCACCTCCTCATGGAGTCCAACAACAAAAACAACTACTCTCCCTCCTCTTCCTCCTCCACATCCACCTCCTCCACTCCCCACCCCGCCACCGCCGCCACCGCCGTCGCCACCACCACCGACCCAGTTCAATCCTGGTGGGAATCAGTATCAAAAGCCCGTTCACGCATCCTCTCCTTATCCTCCATCCTCCCTTCACTCCCGTCGTCTTCTTCTTCTTCCTTCTCCCTTTCCTCTCTTGCTGAATCCGACCGCCCTGCCCTCTCTTTCCTCTCTTCCCCCGACGCTTACTGCCTCCTCTCCTCCTCCCTTTCCTCCCCCTCTTCCGGTTCTGGCTCCGATCCCCTTTGCCAGTGGCTCTATGACACGTACCTCTCCTCTGATCCCAACCTCCGTCTCATTGTCCTCTCTTTCCTCCCTCTTCTCTCTGGGATTTATCTTTCTCGGATCCACTCTTCTGATTCCTCCTCAGCTCCTTCACTCTCTGGGTTCGAAGCTGTTCTTCTTGCCATCTATTCCTCTGAGGTCAAATCTCGTGGAGGAAAGCCTGTTGTTGTTCAGATTCCTCATCTTTCGCACCCTTCTCTTTACCATACCCCTCGAAACAAGTTCCATAAGTCACAGCCCCAGGCGCCTTCTGTTGGGGTTTTGTCGGGGCCTCTTGAGCCCCAGATCGCTGTTAAGTCTACTAAGAGGCCTGTCATTGTTGGGGTCACTTTGGAATGTTACTTTAAGCACATTTCGCAGATGCCCACTTGGTCGAAAGTCGAATTGTGCAGGTTTGCTGGTGCGTGGGCTGGACAGGATTGTGCTTGTCAGGATAAATTTGATGAAGACGATGATGCTGGTTATTTCTTGGAGGGCAGGAATCTGATGATAAGCAGTAGTGAAAGTGAAGATAACTTGGGGATTGCTGAGACTAAGGGAGTGAGGATTCCGCTGCCTTGGGAGATTTTGCAGCCATTGTTGAGGATTTTAGGGCATTGTCTGTTGGGGCCATTTAACACGCAAGATGCCAAGGATGCTGCTTCTGTTGCTGTAAGGAGGTTGTATGCTAGAGCGTCTCATGATTTGGTTCCGCAGGCGATATTAGCTGCTAGGAGTCTAATTCAGCTTGATAAGAGAGCGCGAGAAGCTGCAAAGGCAGCTGCTGCAAATACCACTTCAAATGCTAACACCCCTGCCAAAGCTAAGAAGCATGAAATTCTCTTGGTCTCAAAGTGAAACTGGTCTGTTTTGGCTGTGATTTGCGTGGCAGGTAAATTCTAAGTTTAGATCATTGGTTTTAGTAATGCATCATAATACCTGCTTTTAGTCTGTCATGGTTATGTCAGTTTGCTCTTTGCAATGGATCTTACTGAACATGCTCGTCTACGGTATGTGGTTTCGCTTTCTTGTTATTACAATACACAAAGTAGAAAATTATGATTCCAAAACTTCTTTCTTTGTGAAGCTTCATTTTTTTTTTTTTGTTATCTTCTCATTAGAGTTTGACTCCTGCCTGTAAACTTTGCTGGAAAGACTTATACCCTTTTGAAGAATTGATATCTATCAATGAAATGTGATTCTGCTCTAATTTCTTATTTCATTGGAAAGATTGGAGATTGGTAGGTACCTAACCCAACCAATGTTACTACATGAAGTCACATTATTGCTTTATCAATGTTCTGCTAGTGTGGCTAGTGGCTTATCTTTAAGGTTAGTGTTCGAGTACTTTTTCAAGTAAAGTTGAACTTTGTTTGTTGGGATGATTTTGGGTTTCCCTCAAAGAAATCCTATTACCATTAAATTTCTGTATCCAATTATAGGTAACTTAGATATATTTAATAGTTAAATAAATGAGCTCTGGATGAGCCAATATATTTGTGCGTGTGTATATGTATGTATGTATATTCTGGTACTTAAATTGGTTGATGCTCTTAGGAGTTTCTACAAATAATCAGGGTAGTGAAAGGTTCTCATGCTCAAGTGGATATATTCTGTATGGAAAATTGGTTTCTCTATCACAAATTTCATTATTCATATGCAGTTTATTGGATCAATGTAGGAGGGAAATTTGAGATCTTAAACCTGAAAAGGAAGCTTGTATGGGGAAGTTTCTGAGAGACTGAGTTGAAATTTTGAGATAGAGCTGCTTAGACATTCATTATGATCATTGAGCATCATCCTAAGAAAGCAAGCTACTAATTGGCTTCTTACTGCAATGAAGCATTATAGCCTCACAACATTTTGGTTGAAACTTTCATTCCAAAATAAACCTCACAACCACATACAGCTCCTCTAAGTAGGTTACTTGGGGAGGCGCTTCCAATTCACGGACTGAGCAGATAGCTTCACCGAGGGTGATATTCTTTAAAAGCAAATGTCCTGCACCTAATGAGGATGCTGATAGGCCATATACATTTGCATACATGAAATGAATCCCCTGAAAAATTATAAAATATTCCATTTGGGCTTGAAACTTGATAGAATCTCTTCAATATGCTGTGGAAGCTTTATTAAAGCTAGATTTTTGAAGCCCATTAATTTCAATCTTAGTGCAAAGTGATTGCTACTATGATAAGCCCTAACATAATGGGGCAATAAAATGGGCAGGATTTATCATGCTACTTAGCTGCTTTACAAATAGGAGACAGTTAGATGCCTTTTGTTGTAATGTTTATGTATTTTTAATGGCTCAACTTTTTGTCTTCAAACTCATATTTTTAATTTTATGGATTGCTGGGAATTTTAGTAGCAGAGTCTAGTTTTTAGTTTAGTTTCTATTTAGTTGCTTTATTAAGTCCTAAATCACTAGACTTGTTTAGGTTTTTATTTAGGAATCCAATTCCCTTCAGGAGCAGGACTGTGTGTGTGTGTGTGTGTGTTTATATAGGGGCTGATAATGTGTCCCTGCATGTTCTACAATAGGGACATGTTATCAGCATGTCCCATCTCCTTCTTTCCTTATAACTCCTGGAAAAAAAAATATATAAGGGAAGAAGGAGATGGGACATGTTGATAACATATCCTTGATGTGGGGCATGGTATTATTTAATTGTTAAAATAGGAATATAGTTTAGTTTAGTTTAGTTTAGTTTCTTATTGAATTAAGAGTATTTGTTGGTGGTGTAGTTTAGGGATAAAACAACAACACATCAGCAGCCTTAAGGATAGAAACAAGAAGATAGAAGTTGGAAATGCATATAGAACTTAGGATTTAGGGGAACCTTTAGTTTCTGAAGTTTATTAGTTGAAAAGAATAATATGATGGCTGTAAATTTGTTTTACAGCTTATTTATCCTAGGTTTACTATAAAAACTTTAATCCTAACTCTAATTACACTCCTAAAGAAAACTTATAATCCTAGCTATCCATATATTACACTCCTAAAGAAAACTTATAATCCTAGCTATCCATATATTTTATAGGTCTAATGCTATAATAATAGCATTAAAGTCTAGAAGCTGCTTTTGCTGCAACACAAAAGAACTTGGAAACTAAAACCAACTCTCCTTATCAATCTTCTAAGGCTTCAGCCTTCAATCCACAAAATTAAATTTTGAAAGAGATGGTTTGTGATCCATTTCACCAAAAGTAGCAATCCTTTTTTTTTTTTTTTTTGGTGTGTGTGTGTGTGTTGATAGCTTTAAATTTTGAAAGAGAGAGTTTCAAAAGAGGAGATCTGAACATCCCATTAATTATTCAGTCCTAATAAGATAAGCAAGCTATTGAACCCTTGATTTCCTCACCTTCTTTTAACTGAAAGGGTATAGATTTGGTTGAACTCATTGATTCCGTTTCATTTGGATAAAAAAAAAAAAGGAGGGGGTAATGTTGCTGCCTATGGAAGAGGAAAGTGAATAGGAAATAACGTTTGTCGGAGAAAGTCTTGTTCAGAAATATTTAGATATATTCAGTCATACAATATTCTTACCTGTATTTTTATTATTTACTGAATTAAAAGGATTTGGGTTTGTATTATACATACTTACATGCATATATATGAGCGACCAACCTCATTAAAACAAACCATGACATGAAATAGTGAACCCAACTAGGCCTATCCCCCCTCTTACTGCATATCAGGGCAAGTTATGAACCACATACCCGCACCCATGCCAATCACCATAACTAACCACGTCCTAGACAACAACTTGGCATTTTGTTTAGGCATTTCATCATAAAGCATTAATAGTATGAGGTGTGTCTTGAACTTTTTGATCCAATCCATGTTATCATCGTGCCTGACAAATTGGAAGAATAATCTGAGTGGAAAATTTGTGAGTTCTGTCATGGTAACATTTGAACCTGACCCTATATTGTTTAGGATCAATCTTTCCTTTTCCTTTGCAAGTTATGGTTACCAATTTTTTTCGTTGCTAGAAGGTTCTCTCAGGATTGTGAGGTCTTATTCACTCTTGAGCAACGCAAATTAAACTTCTTAGTTCTGTTGAAAAAGGTGCGTTCAAGCAACTTTCTTTGACTGATTGGGGGCTTGGTGGTTTTCTTAGCCTTGAACTAATACTCAGAAGCTGACATCTTGTTCCTTCATCAAAATGCAATAAGATTTAAGCTCATGATTTTCTGACATGGGGATGAGACATTGTAAATATTTATCATTTTAGAGCTGGATTAGATGAATAAATTCAAATAGTACTTTTCTTTAACTTTAATTGAAACTTGAAACTACCTACTTTTATTGCTTAGAAAATTCAGAGATTAGATGCTTGTTGGGTTAGAGCAAAAAAAATTGACTTAAAAAACTTGGATGCCCAAAGATCATTTGAATGTTTATTTCTCAGGTCCTTGGAAAAATGTGTGAAGTCTCTAGTTGGAGCATTTCTGAGAAATAAATTAGCATAGGCTTGCTGCGTCCAATCTCCATGCCAGATTGACCTATACCCGAGCCTTATGTTTTTTGTGGAATCAGTATCCATAACATTTTGCTTGTCTTTTCCAAACTATATTCAAGACCTTGAGTAAAATTCTTGGAGATGAGCAAAATGCTGTCAGCTGCGACCCTTATTCATTCTCATTTATTCATTTATTTGAGCAAAATGCCATCAACTTTTATCCTTTTAGGTCCTTCTCATGATGACCAAGCAACTGGATACTATTGTAATTATTTTTTCACTTTTCATTGGTAAATATACTTCAACTACTTGCTGTTTCCTTTTGACTTTGTTAAGAGGCCCATCGTAAGATGGTGGCAATTTTGTTTACAAGGGATCAGAAATGAAAGAAATTTGCTGTGGAATTGATGATTTTAGTGATGCTTTTCTTCTTTAGATGTCTGCCAAATGTGTTTTATAAATCTAACCAACTTCTGTATTTTGATTTATGCTCACATGAGTTTTTGGTTCATGCAGGTTTCTTGGGTATATGTGATTGTGAGTTGAAGTTGGATTGCTCCTACAAGGGTTTTGTACCTCCTTTGAGGTGAAAATGTTGACATTTAAAACAGCAAGAGAATGGAGTCAAGCAGCTAGAGAGCTGCTTGTGTTTAGAAGTGTTCCATTTCAAGAAGATGAATATCACCGTGATCCTTGTTCTGAAAACGAGGCTGTGTCCTGTCCAACGAGTGCTGTAATTACTTTATTGAAGGCATGCATAGAGTGAGTGGGGCATGTTTTTTCGTTGTGCTTTATATAGAGTTTATGAATGTCAAGGCTTGGAACCACAGTTGCAGCATTTTCTCATGGTTTCTGAGATTTGATTTCTTTTGTTGACGATGATAAGTGTTGCACTATGTTGATTGCGCTAGGTTGCATCTGTTAGCCAGGCTGCGTGACTATTCTGTTTGTCTATATTGTTAAGGTGGGCATGTCATTCGGAAAACCCTCCCATCGTCCCCCTCTTCCTAGCCCCCATCCCCCTCCTGCTCCTCCTCCTCCTCCTCTCTGTGGGGCAGAAACTGCTAGATATACGATAGTGAGAGGGTAAAATCTATAGTGAGATTCATTTACAGAAGGGTACTCGATAGAAATCTTGTATGAGGATGAGCAAGGCTTCAAAAATTTTCATTTTCTTTGTTTTCAATTTTCATAACTTTATCAGTTTTTTTTTTTAAAAAAAGAAAATTGGCATGCATATTAGATTTATTCAGGGTTAATTGTAATTTAGTCTTCATGGTTCATCAATATAAATTAATTAAGCCATTTGGTATAAAAAATAATCAAATATCATTTTGACTAATTTTAATATTATTTAATCTAATACTTATTGTTTTAAAAATTGCTTTCTTTTCTCGCCAAACTTTCCATCCTGTCTATTTTTTGTCCCACCCTTTATAATTCTTAAAACAAAAAAAGATAAAATGAAATGAATGGGAGAAAAAGAAGTTATAATTAAATATAAAAATCCAAGGATTAAATAATATTTCTTAGAACCACGAGGATTAATTAATTGTTTGTGCTAAATTACAGGCACGAAGTTGTAATTAACTCATTTATTTGCGGATAAATTGTAATAAACCCTCGAGGTTTAGATATTGGAAAGGTTTCTATAACTTCTCTTTTTCAAGATTGAAGAACTATTAAGATTACTATTGTTTACGTGGTTCATTCTGTATTTAAAGCAAAACGTACAAGTAATATATTTAATAAAATGCAAAACATTATTTACTTTGTGTGGAATCTACCACAATTCACGATTCAAACACTGGTTAACAGAAAACAACTTGAATTTGCTTCTCTTTCTTTGGATAGTATTCTTGAATTAATTCACTTGGTATTCTTCACTTCAAAAAGTGAATATTATTTTTTATTATTTGTTGGATCTGACTTGATAAAAAAAAATTATTTTTTTAATTATGATTTGCTTGAAAAATTATTATTTAATATTATTCAATGATATTATATAAATTATAAGGAAATCACAATTTCAATTTTGTTTGTGATAATATTTCATCTGATGTTGTTGCATGTTCAAAAACCCATAGAAACTGTAGTTCTTATTAGATAAATTTCATACGTGATGAAATTGTATATAAGTTAATGAAATAATAAAAAATATTTGATATAAGTATTATTTATTTAATGATATAAGATTGATAGTTAAATCTACAATATTTAAATTTAAAACAATCAATATTAATATATATCTTTTTTAGTTATTTTATAACTTCAATTTGAAAAGCATGTTTAGCCAAACACATTAAACTATTTTTTATTCAATTTTAATTTCAACCACAGTTTTAACTAAACATATATAAATACCAAATTAATCTTAATAAAAAATATATTTTATAAAATATTTTTTTTCAAATCACAACTATAGAAAACTATCGCAATATCAAACACTGTTGCTGATGAAGCAACAATAAATTTCTTATTCAAAAGTATAAGATATTCTCAAATTAATTTCAATTTATATATGGAGTGATATTAAATTTTGACCTAAATAATTTTAATAACAACTCCCATCGGTATAATAACCACTAGACTTAGAGTTCATTACTAGACATGGATCCGAGCTATGTTTTGGGTTTGTGTTTTTTATTTTTTTTAAAATTATATTTAGAATAAATAGTATATTTTTTTTTTGTAAAACAAAATGTTTCGGTGATGTAAACATGTTTTTAAAAAATAAAAAAATTAATGATTCAAGTTATAATATAAAAAAAAAACTGGCCTTATTTTAATTAGATGATAAAAGAAAAAACAATGATATTAATCATATTTTTTTAAAAAAATATCACTATACCTTGGAAAAAAACAATGGAGCACAAAATTGGACTGGGTCAATAAACTCTAAAGAACATACTGAGAAAAAAAAATAATTATACAAAAAATTTAAAATAAAAAATAATAATTTAAAGAATAAGGGTGAAAATGAAATAAAAATAAATTAGAGAGCAAAATTTTTTTTTATTTGAGAGTTTAATTAAAAAGAAAAATAACTCAAGCAAAAAGAAAAAAATATAAAAGAATGAGAAAAAAAAACACAACATAAACCTGGATTGCAAAGTGAGATTAAAAAACAATAGGATTTTTATAAAAGGTTTAAGGAGAAAAATAAAAAATTCAAAGAATAAGAACAAAAAAAAATGCATGAAAAATTGAAATTGAAGGACTAAATCGAATATAAATAACACTTATCGAAAGGAGAAAAAAAATTTCGCTTGAAGGGCTAAATTAAAGAGAAAAATAACTAAAAAATAACAATCAAGGACTAGACTGAAAAAATAACACAAAATAAACTTGGATTGAAAGGTAAAATTAAAACAATAAAATTTTATAAAAGAATCAAGTAAAAAAGAAATAGAAACCAAAAGAATAGCATATCACAATTGGGTGTGAATGACTAAATTGAAAGGAAATAAAACTCTTATTAAAGATCTAAGGATAAAAGTAAAAAATTAAAAGAAGAAGGACCAAAGCATAAATGTTAAAAACAAAGAAAAGCAATATGAAATTTTTGTTAGAGAAGAGAAAAAAGAAGAAGCAAAAAAGAAAAAAGATCAACTGATGACAAACCAACTAATCAGTTACAACACACATTATATTAGCTGAAAGAGGATATAAAGTTGCATCTAACCATACTATGAATGAATAATCTTGACTATTAAAAGATATTACACGTACCATCCATAATACACAAGCGTTTTTAACATGATTGCACGTGTAAAGTATATGTTAATAGCTTTTTGAAATTTATTATTATTTTATTATGATAAAATATAATAATATACTTGGCAAAACCAATAAAAAACAAAAAAAAAATTAAAAATATTGTTGATTTAAAGAGCATTTTATGTACTATTATATGCCGTTGCATCTAATCACACTACGAATAAATAATCTTGATTATCAAGAGACATTATATGTATCATTTAAAGTGCATAAATGTTTTTAATATGACTATACGTGTAAAGCATATGTTAATAATTTCTTAAAATTTATTATTATTTTATTATGATAAAATACAATAATACACTTGACAAAATCAGTAAAAAACAAAAAAGAAAAAATTAAAAGACATAAATCAAGAATAATCCTGATTGAAAGCTTTGGTATGGTTGATTTAAACAGCATTTTACTAATTTAATTGTACCCTAACCATTCAAAATACAATAATGCCCCTAGACCAAAGGTTATAAATTTTAAGTATTTTTATGGTTCAAAACAAAAAAAAAAAGGAAAGAAAAAGACCCTCATATCCTTCCAAGCAAGGCAACCTATTATTTGATTGAGGGGCAAAACAATAATTTCACTGTACTGTAAAATACCCCTTCATTTTAGTATATTAGTTATTTTTCTATTTCAAATCACATGCACATGTATATATATTTTTTATTCCTTAGTACAGGATATTCTCGAACTAGATTACGCATTGGTATGGTCTACAATAAACTAAGGGAGTGTTTCTTTAACTCGTTTTTCAATTATTTTTTAATTGAAAAGTCATTAAATTAATATTTTAATATTTTTAATTATTTTGATTTGCTAATATAATTTAAAAAAAAACTATGTAATTTTATATATTTTCAATTAAAAAATATTTTTCATCCCATTATCGAGAACACATTAGCTCATTGATCTTGTCTTCCGGGTCTCACACACACACATAACTAAGAGCTCTTTGGATTTCACAACAGCACCAAAACTGTTCCTATTTCCAAAACTAAAATCCATCCAACACTGAACATGAACAAAGAAGGTGAGCCAGCAATTGACCTAGGAATCTCCTACATTTGTTTTAAAGACACATATCGTGTTTTTATCTTCAACAAGGAACCCTTGCCAGCCGAACTCATGGAATTTTTAGGTTGGGAAAATTAGAATATCCTGAGCTGCTCATCATTAGGGATTATCATCCGTCTAAATGGTTCGGTTTAGAAGATGGGTTAGTTTGGTTCGGTTTTACTATATATATTCTCGGTCCTTTCAGTTTGATTTCTCGGTTCGATTTTTGTGGGTTCTCAAATCTAAAACCAAATCGAATTAAATTGTTTTAAGATTTTTCCAACTATTTTCTGGTTTGGTTTTTCGGGTTGGTTTTTTGAACTGATTTTGAGTTGATTTTATGGATATTCCATTATTATGCTCACCCTTGCGCCATTTTACATGGTTTTACAATTGATTAAAATCCATGGAACAAATCACCTAGCTTCCACTTCGAAAAATTTGCATTGAAATCATGGGATTTTCTACATTCCTGATCAAGCGTCTGTATTGGCTTCTTTTGTTTACCTTCTTGATATTACACCTGACAGAAATTGGCACAGCAGCCCTGTTTGATCCTTCACAGTACCTCGATGCTCACAGACAAGAAAGGGATGCTCTTTATGCTCTCAAGGCCAGTTTCAACAGCTCTTTTCTGAATGATAACTGGACTGGCCCTCAATGCAATACGGACTCTTCGTCAAGATGGCATGGCATTCGGTGCTTCAATGGTCGTGTTACTGAAATTTTTCTGGAAAGTATGAGGTTGAATGTTACATTAATGGATATCGACGCGTTCGTCTTCCTCACAGAGCTGACGGTCCTGAGCCTGAAGAACAATTCAATATCAGGGAACATGGTGAATTTCTCTTCCAACAACAAGATGAAGCAACTTGATTTGTCAGGAAACAGGTTGTATGGTTCAATCCCAAAGTCACTACTGAGTCTTAAATTGTTGGAGTCTTTGCTTCTTCAGGATAACTATTTGACAGGGCCAATCCCAGAATTCAATCAATCCAGCTTGAGAGTCTTTAATGTCTCCAACAATGATCTCGATGGCTCGATCCCAAAAACTCACGGTCTGCAAGCTTTTGGCCCTGATTCATATTCTAGTAACCCTCAACTGTGTGGTCCGCCTACGCTCAACATCTGCAAAAATTTCTTTGCAACAATAGATGTAGCAGATGATCAGAACAAAGAAAGTTCTCCCGCTGAACCCCCAAGAAAGTCATCTATACCCAACTCTGCAAAGATATCTGTAGTTTTCATCGCTGTTGGCTTCGTCGTGGCGATTTTTCTCTTCTTTCTTCACTTCAAGAAGGCTAGGAAGCTTAAGAAAAAGGGCAGGAAAGTTGAGGAAAGAGGAGAAGAAGAAGAACAGCAACCACAGCAACAAGATGCTACTTTGATTGATGATGGTTTGGAGGGTGAGGAAAAACCTGTAAGGAGTATAGAGGAGGAAAAGGGAAAGGCTGTCGATATCGAAGAAGAAAAAAGGAGGCTTATTTTCGTAGAGGAAGAAGCAAAAAGTTTCACACTGAATGATCTTTTAAAAGCTTCTGCTGAGGGTTTAGGCAAGGGGAACTTTGGAGATTGTTATAAAGCTGTGATGGATGGCAAGGAAGCTGTTGTTGTAAAACGAATAACGGATTTGAAGCCATTAAGTGGTAAAGAATTCACAAGGCAATTGCACATAATTGCTCATCAGAAGCACCCCAATTTGCTACCACTTCTAGCTTACCACAACTCCAAGGATGAGAAGTTGCTGGTGTACAAATATGCACAGAAAGGAACCCTCTTCAATCGCATTCATGGTATTCACTTCATTGTAATCTTTCCCTTCTATTTCTTTTTCACTACAGAATCTTATCCTGAAATTCTGCTTAATTCTCTATTTTTTTCTCCAGTTTTTGAAAATTAGTTTTGTTTTTTAGGTTTTCTCAACCCTAGTTTTTCTTTCCATGAACTCGAGAATATATTTTCTTCAACTTGATCAATACTGAAGTTCTGACATAACAATAAGAAACAACGCAGGAAACAGGGGGAGGGACAGGATTCCATTTAGGTGCAGCTCGAGAATTTCAGTAGCTCTAGGCATTGCACGAGCCCTGGAATATCTTCACCTCAACACCATCTCACAAAGCGTTGTCCCTCATGGCAACCTAAGATCAACGAATGTTCTTCTTGATTTGAACGAAAAGGTTCTGGTATCAGATTATGGTCTCAGTTCAATAATAGCTCAACCCATTGCAGCTCAGCGTCTTGTTTCGTACAAATCACCTGAATATAAGACTACCAAGAGGGTTTCTAAGAAATCTGATGTTTGGAGTTATGGTAGCCTTCTGTTAGAACTCTTGACTGCAAGGATATCAGTGTGCTCAGCTCCCCCAGGAACCGAAGGGATGGAGCTTTGCAGTTGGGTGAAAAAGGCAGTTAGGGAAGAATGGACAGCTGAGATATTTGATATTGAGATTGCTACGCAGAGAAGTGCAAGTTCTGGGATGCTAGAACTACTGCAGATTGCTATCCGCTGCTGCGAGAAGTCCCCCGAGAACCGACCTGAAATGACTGAGGTTGTTCGAGAGGTGGAGAGCATCAAAGCTCGTGTTGAATCAGAAGATGAAGAAGACTTGTCCATGGATCGATCGTTAACAGATGAATCTCTTTAACAAATGCCAGCCTTAATTAGTGATTACTCTAAATTGTCAGCTTCAAAAAACCACAATATCAGATCAGATTAAAAATAAAATATACAAATGTAGAAGAACGATCGTTACGCTTGACATTTCTCTCTGTATTATGATATTGACCCAAATCCACTATATAGCTCGGTGCTCAAGAGGTATTGTTCCACGTTCGAGCTCGTTCGTAGTTTCATGGTGAATTTTGCCTCGAAAAGATTCATTTGAGAAGTTAAGGCAATCAAGAGTGTCTTTGCCTATTAGTCATTTAAAATTTGGCTTGCTAACAGCAGTTTCAGAGAGTGAACTGCTTGCCTTCAAAGGAAAATAATCCAGTAACTACCAATTTTCAACAATAAAACCGTTCTGATTTTGGCAAAAAAAAAAAAAAAAAAACCTAATCTATCTTATTTGAAAAGACGCATCAAGTTTCACAAACAAATTGACCAATGAGAAAGCTATTATCTATGCTTTAATAAAATTCGTTGCATAAATATGACCTATCATACCAAATTAATTTTTAATTAATTACTGATGAAGTTAATCAAGAGTGTAATCTGCTGGAACCAATAATTTAATCAAGAGTGTAATCTGCTGGAACCAATAATTTCTTAGGTTTTCCTTTTTAACCTTTCAATATAATAAATCATTTTTTTTAATAATACTATAAGGATAGATTTTGTATATAATTTACAAATTTCGAATGAACAAGTCATATTTTCTTGTTGATAAGTTTATAGATAATATTGACAGGCAAAAACCTAATAAGATAGCTTCAAAGGGTAACATGCACAAATGAATTGATGAAAATCATATGTTATTCAGAAATTCACCCTATAAAAAGAATCAAACGTTCAAGGTCGTTCTCAAGATCAAAATCCTATTTAAAAACCTACTTTCAAATCCTTTTGTGATTATATTTTTAGATTCATCTTATACTGCTTCTATTTTGAAAATTCTATTTTTTCTAATTCTATTTTCTCTTTATTTTGACGTTAATTATGCATTTATAGTTATTTTATTTTTGATTTAGCTAGTGGTTTACTTGGGTTGAGTATTTGAACTATTTTTTTGAGATTTTAGAATCAGTTATTATTTATCAATAAAATTTGAATTTAGAGTTTCCCTGCAAATTTGCTATCTTTATTATTTTAAGGGGTTTTTAAAGTTAAAAAAATCCTAGTTGTTACCATATGTTTTGTTGGGTGGTATTAAAACATATTAATGTAATTAATGGACATAATTAATAATAACCATCTTAGTAACATTCTTGTTCAAAGGTAAAGGTTATCTAGGGTGATGTAAGGACTTATGAAACATTTGAAAAAAGATTTGGAATTATAGGTAATATGAATAGATAAGATATTTAATGACATGATTGACAATTTTGAGCAATTGCTAATAGGTGATAAAACAAAAATTATGATTGTAAGAGGAGTGTGTCTAAAAAAGTATTTTGTGGCAGACTTAATGCTCCATCCATTCTCCTACATCAATAAAAAGGAGGATAAACAAGATTATATATGCTTTGTCAATTATAATAATAATAGGTATGGAAAACACTATCCAAATACTGATGAATTTCTCTTTTAGGTTGACATTCATATTTTTAAAAGGGATCTTGATATTTAAGAATTCCTTGATTAGATCAATGATTGTGATAGGATTACATGAATATCTTAGAGGAGAGGATTGTGAAATTGATGGCAATTAGATTAAAGGGAAGATCATCTTCTTGATGGAAGCACTAAGTGGAGATAGGAGAGAGGGAATGTAGAATATTTGTTAGTCATGAAATTAATTTTTACCCCTTGATAGTAATATCCAATCATGCATTATTAAAAGTACTCTTAAGGTTATAAAATAATCCACATGAATATTATTAAATTTTAGAGATTCATTAAATACAATTAGTTGCAAAAAACAGAACAAAAAATAAGTACCATGATTTTAAAGGGATTAAAGCTAACTATTAGGAATAAGATAAGGATGCAGGTGATCTTTATCCTATATGAGATGTGAAATAGAACACTCAAAGCATAATTGCTCTTCAAAATGAGGGTTAACAATAATAAGTTTTATTTATTAATAAAATTCAAACTTTGAATTTCCATGTAACTTTGTTATCTTTATTTTTTTTTAGAGTTTTTTTAGAATTGACAAATCCTAGTTCTCATTGTATACCATTAAAAGCTGGCCTAATTGATATATAGAGTCAATGATAAATATCTTGAATGCCATTTAGAATGTTATAAAGGTCTAAAAGTCAACGTAAAAAGATATAGAATAAAAATTCAAACGAATAGAAATGATAATTGATGACATGATTGACTATTTTGAGCAATTTTTAATAGATGATGAAAAGATAAATCATGATAATGAGATGAACATGAAAAAAGAAGAAGAAAATATACCTCATACTAGATCTAATACCCGATTTATTCTCGGACACTAATGAAAATGAGGATACAGAGGATCTTAAAGGCTTTGTCAACTATGATAGGAATATGTATGACAAGTTCTATCCATACACTAATGAGTTTTGTTTATAGGTTGGTATCCTTAGTTTCAAAAGATATCTTGATATTGAAATTTTTTATGATTGAAACGCTGAGTATGATAAACTTAAGGATTACATCAACATCTCGGAGAAGAGGATGATTAAACTGGTAACAATATAAATTAAGGGAAGGAGTGTCTTCGTAGTGGAAGCACTTAGTAAAGTTAAGAGAAATGAGATATTAAACATCTGTTAGATCCTAGTTTCAAATAAGAAATATATTGCATGATCAATTTTTACCGTTGACTACCAACAATATTTATTTATAGAGTATCAAGTAGGGCTAAATGGTCATAAAAATAGTCTATGAGTATATTGCTAAGTTTTAGAGGTTAACTTATAATAATCAATTGCAAAAAATAAAAAAGATGCAACATACTGTGATGTAATAAACATTAATACTTGTAATTTGATTTTTAAGGGGCATTGACTATTCGATATAGATGCTAAACACTTAGTCAATGATAACTTTTATAAATTCCATAAAAATAAGTTTAATTATATATTGGTTCCTATAAAATAAAAGGTTCAGCCTAAAACTTATGAAGTAGAGGGAAAGAATTTCATCATCATTACTAGTTTTAGTCGATAAAGAAAACACATAAAACTAAATAGACATCTATACTAATAGTGAAGATATTGGTGGTTGATAAAGAAAACGAACATAATTTAAACATATTATAAGCTATGAAACCATTACTTACAAAGTTCGATGAGATTATACCAATTGAGTTGCTTGATGGGTTGCCATCAATAAGAGATATTAAACATCAAATTGACTTGATATCAAGAGTTAGCTTACCAAATCCATCATATTACAAAATGAGTTAAAAAAAATGTGAGATTCTTTAGGAGAAAGTGAAGAATTTATTAAGAAAGAAATAAATTTATAAGAGTTTAAATCCTTGTTTTGTACCTACCTTGTTAACTTTGAAGAAGGATTGAAGATAATGTATATGCATTGATATCCATGTCATCAATAAAATTATAACATGATACCTATTTTATATCCTATATTGGATAACATATTGAACTAGTTAAATGGTGCAACATTATTTTTAAAATTGATTTATGTGATGGATACCATAAAATATAAATCTTACTAGAAGATGAGCAAAAAGTAACTTTTTATATGAATGATGGGTTGTAAGAATGGATGATTATATTGTTTGGCCTTCTAAATGCCTTAAACACCTTTGCAAAGATAATTAATAAGGTTTTTCATCTTTTTATAATATATTTTTATTATGTATTTTAATGATACCTTGATTTATTGTCATATAAAGCAAGAATATATGAAACATGTAAAGGAGATGTTAATAGTTTTATAAGACATGTTATATATAAATTTAAAGAAATGAGATTTTCTAATCGATAAGTTATTATTTATAGGCTTTATAATTTGTATAAAAGTTATTCACGTGAGAGAAGGTGAAAACAAAAACAATAAAAAAGTGACTAACTCAAAAAGATATTAGTGAGCTATATAGTTTCCATAACCTCGCTATCTTTTACAAGCATTTAATTCCCAACTTCAACTTCATTCATATTGTTGCTCTAATTATATAGTGCTTGAAGAAAGGAAAGTCTAACAAGAGTGAAAAAGCTAAGAAGAATTTTGACTTGATAAAAAAGAAGTTGTATATTATTTAAGTGTAAGATTTTATAATCTAATTTTTAATCAATTTAATATTTAAAAATAAAATTAAAAAAATAGTAAAAAAACTCGAGTCGGCTGAATTAATATATCAAATTTACAACTCAAACCATGAAACTAGAATAATTTTATAGAAAAAAAAGTAAAAAAATTATAAAATACAATCCCCAATAAATATAATGTGAAGGAAATAATTGAAATTGAAAATCAATTAAAAAGAGATTAAAAAAAAAATTCTAGTTAACTGAGGTTAAGAGAATAATATTATAGAAAATATATCTAAATAAATTATAAAATTTAATTTATTAACCCAATATTAAAAAATAAAATTAAAAGAAACTCGAGTCGACTAATTAAATTCATGATTTAAATTATAAAACTAAAATAGTTTTACAAAAAGTAAGTTAATAAAAATTATAATACTTAATTTTAATAAATCTAATATTAAAATATTAAAATAAAATTTAATAATATATATATATATATATATATATAAAAGGTCAACAATATTTTATGAAAAAATGTATATTAAAATTCCTATTAAGTGACTAGAATAATTTTTTATTAAATAAATAATATTTTACGATGAGAAGTACATCAAAATTCTCGATGATTAAGTAAATAATATATAT